CCCCCCCCCGCCCAACTTACTCTGGATTTCAATAACCTTCTCCAGGGTGGCCACGGCATTTACATTTGGCTTTTGCTGCAGGAGAGCTTGATCCAGGGGGTCCAGCTGGGAGAGAGGGGGGTGGGGAGAGAAGAGAATCTCAGAGCGAGTCGGGGGCATGTTCTGCATCCTCCCCCTCTCCCCACCCTTGCTTTCTTCAATTCTATTTCCCCCGAGGGGGTCCCCCCTTCCCGCATCATTATTATACAGTGACATCATCATATAAAAGCTACAACAGTCATAAGATGGGCCCCACCCCCGGGACTGGGATGGGCCCTCCATCCACAATGGCCTCCCCTAGGGAGGGCTTTTCTGATTGGCCTCAGTTTGCTCCTGTTGAACTCAATGGGCGTTTTACCAGCAACTTTGCTGGGAGCGGAGTGTGGCCCAGGCTGAGCACTTCCGAAAACCTCGCCCCTTGATCGGGTGGCGGGGGGGGGGGCGCAAGGGCTTCTTAGAGGCAGATGGGACCCGCCTGTGCACTTCAACTGCAGGATCAGGACCATAATTCCTTTATTTTTAAAAGCAAGTGCCCTTCCCAAATGCCCCCTTCCCCTGGTAACACACTGGGAGGGTTTATAGTTCCAGTCTCCTGGCTGGTTCTACTGTCTGTTCTCTTTTTCCTACTTCCCTCCCAATCCACGGTGATCGTCAGTTTCACGCTTGTTTCTAGTCAGTTTCACGGTTCCTGCTCTGTTACCTGGCCGAGCTGGGATCAGAGGTTTTATGGCCAGTCTGGAACCAACCTGACCTGCGGCACAGCCCCGGCCCTTATCTTTCACCCAGACTCCCCTGTATTAAGACTTTCGTTAGATCAAATCCACCCTCACGAGGCTAAACTCTTAGGTGCCAACAGCAGGCAGGGAACTGGAGAGACCTCCGGGGCTGCCGATGGCAGGGAACTGATCAGGTGAGAGACACCCGGAGGATCCCAGCCCGTAATCCACACCCCGCGCTGCAGAGAGAGGTGAACCCCCCACAAGTCCCTGCCAATCTGAGCAGCGGGGAAATCCTTCCTGGCCCCAAATCTGGGGCTCACGGTGATCCGAAGAATGTGCGCAAAACACCCCAGAAAGGCATCTAGGAAGAGGATTCTCTGTCCCCCCCGCTCCAGTTCAGTGTCATGTCTCTGATGCTTCAGAGAAAGGCAGAAAAGAATCCCAAAACACCCAGGGTACATCCAGCCGGTTGTCAGACACGGCAGGATTCGATTGTAATCAATAAAGGTCGATCGGCGCTGATTTCAGCTCCCATTCGGCCGCGCACTTAAGCGCGCGATGAAATCCGTCTCCGGTCAGGACAGCACTTAAGCACGTCTGTGCAGCGCCTAGCACCCGGCCCACTGGGGGCTCACAGGAGCCCCTGTAATACCAACGAGAAGCTATTCGGCGCACGGGCCGAAGTCCTGCTGAGTGAGGTGGGTGAAATCTCACGCAAGCGGAGCCAGAATTTCACCAGGGGATTGAAGCACCTGTCCTGAAGAGAGATGCTTTCCTGAACGGGGGCTGTCGGGCCCAGTCTGGGGCCCACTTTCCCCTCTATTGCGGTCAGTTCTTTGGGGCAGCGACGGTCTCTTTGTTTTGTGTTTGCACAATGGAGGCCCTGCGACTGGGGCTCCTAGACGCGGCTGTCATGCAGATACTAAATGATCTTGCTTAATAATAATATTTATTGTCTGTATCACATTAACCCACCCCAGCCCAGGTGCTGCACAGATACAGTAAGACCCAGTCCCAGCCCAGAAGGCTAAATAGCAGGTGGGAGGGGAAACTGAGGCCCAGAGATGAGCCCGTGTGGGCTGCGCCGGGGGGGGAACTCCACTGACCTCCACGCCAAGCAGGGCGGAGACACAGGCTTCTGAGGCGTCGCAAATGGCTGTCAGGTCGTGACCTCCCTCCAAAGCCAGCACCACGCGCCCGCCGGCCAGCTTCATCAGCTGCTTGGTCAGGTGTCCGAAACCTACAGGGAGGGATAGAAACTGCCGTGGTCAGTGTGGGACAAGACCCTCCCCTAGCAGAGTCCTGCAGCACCCAGGGGCACTGGGATAACAGGGGCCAGTGAGAGCGAGGCGTATGGATGGGGATAAAGAGACAGATAGACGGACAGACAGGTATGCCTGTATGCATGGAGCTAGACAGACTAACCGTTGCTCACAACTTGGGGATTGCAAAGTGCTTTGTCAGTAGATTAAACCCCCATTTCACAGATGGGGAAACCGAGGCACGGAACAGGGCAGTGACTCTCCCCGTCACCTAGGAAAGCCAGGTGGGAGCGCAGTCAGGGGTACAGCCCGGGGAACCCCACCCTGCGGTGCGTTAAACCATTGGGCCCACGGTGCCTAGAGCACTTCTCTCTGTATTAGCACCACTGCTACGGGGGCCTGCAGGGAGCGCAGGAGAACCAGGTGCAGCCCAGCTCAGAGACCCTGGAGCGGCTGGATCCTAGCAAGTAGAGACACCCAGGGCTAACCCAGCAGGGGAAGAGCCTGACCTGGATTGGCTCCCGCCCCCACCTGGCTCCAACATCCCTCCCCAGGCCAGGCCTGGGAATCAGAGCTCCCACTTCAGCGCTCAGGGTCCCCCAAGCCACCGAACCTGGAAGATGAAGTGGGAGCGAGTGGCGCCCGGACCCTGTGTCAACCCTCTGCCCGGGGGCATTTCACCCTCCAGGGGCTTTCCCGCCCGGGGAACCAGCACTTGGATCGTGGACAAATGGGCTGGCGAGAGGCGCTGTGGGGACCCAGCCCCGGCCCAGGCTGGGCGCAGCCTGACGCGTTTCCCTCCGCCTGCAATTTTCACGGTTCTCGTGTCTCTGCTCCAAGCCACGACCCCAAATGCAGGCCCTTGCCCCAAGCCCCATGGGGCAACCCAGCCGGCTCCCAAAAAGCAAGCCCTCGACCCCCACGGGGCAGACCTGCCTGCCTCCAAACGCAGGCTGTTGCCCCGATCCCCACAGGGCAGCCCCACTAGCCCCCAAACGCTGGCCCTCGACCCCCCTGGGGCAGCCCCACTGGCCCCCAAACGCCGGCCCCGCTCTCACATTTCGCCGTGACGGAGTAGCCGCCCAGGGGAGACAGATGTCCCTCGACTGCATCGAAGCCGGCAGAGACCAGGACCACGTCCGGGGAGAACTCGTTGGCTATCGGCATCACCACCGTCCTGGGGGAGGGGAGACCGCGAGTGAGGCCCCCGGCAGAGCACGCCAGCCTCGAGCAACCCTCGGCTGAGTCCCCCGGGGCTGGGAGACCGGCTCCCTGGCCAGCGAGAGGGCACAGAACATCTCAGCAACTGCGGGAGAGCGTGGCCTGTCCCGGGCAACCTGCCCCCCTCCTGCCCCAAGCTCCTGGGAACCCGTCTCTGCCCCCCCTTCTGCTCTGGGATTCCCCCCCCACCCCGCCTGGCTCCCCACAGCAAAACAAAAGCACTTTCTGGGTCCCAAGAGATTAAGCATTCCCCAGCCCTCTCCCCCAGCCCCAGGGAGGGCTCTCTGCAGGCCCCCTTCCCCACAACAGGGGCTCACGCCCCACGGAGTCCTACGCATCCATGGCACACGGAGTTGCTGCAGCCAGAACAGGTAGGAGGGCAACAGGATGGGCAGGCAGGACTCCTGGGTTCTAGTCCCAGCTCTGACACTGGCCTGCGGGCTGACCTCGAGCAAGTCACTTCCCTGCTCCGGGCCTCAGTTTCCCCCTCTGTGAAGTGGGGATAATGCTGCTCGAAGGGCAGAGACACGCCAGCGCTGTCCACTGGGGCTGCGGTCATCCTGGCCTGGCCCAACTGGGGTCAGTGTCACTCCAGTCCTATTAGCCCCGAACCTCTTCTCAGCACCAGTCCCCTCGGCCAGCCCCTCCTGGATGCCCCTCCCCCCGCCCCAGATGGATGGAGACCGAGTGAGTGGCCCAAGGACACCCAGAGAGTCAGTGGCAGGTCCTGTCTCTCCTTCCTCTCAGCCGAAGCTACGACGCTACCTGCTAGCAGGGCGCTGAGGCTAAGGCCATGGAGAGGAGCTGGTGGTGCCACCTGGGGGAGCCCTACCTGAACGCGACCAGGTACTCCACGTCTCCGATGGGGGGGTCCACGCCGCCCGTCCAGGCTATGTTGACGTTGTACCCCACCCCCATCCCACTGCCAACCTGCAACAGAGGAGACCTGCATAGGATGTGCCTGGATCCGTGGGCCAAACCACGAGCAGGGGCCCGGCCTTCACCGCCCCTGTGGAAGAGTATGGCACGGGGCGGGGGGGGCCCTTCCGGCTCAGGGCTCTGCCGTCCCAGCCGCTCTGATCATGCCCCTTCTCCGTTAGCTATTTGGGGAGCGGACAGGGGATCACGGAGGGAGCTTTACAAGGGGATTCAGGACCCTCCCCCTTCCCCCAGCACTGTATAACCCCAAGCAGGGAATGCCCTTGGGTCAGATCCTTGGCAGCTGTCACATCCCAGCGCCATACCCGATGGCGGAAGGGACCCACAGCCGCCCCACACTCCATAGGTCCTGCCTCAGATCCCGCCGCTCTGCAACCCCCACCCTGATGCCGCCATCTGCCTTGGGACAGGCTCCCTCGCTGGGGCCCACCGGCCCTCGGACTGCTCTGAGCCCTGTCACCTCCCAGCGAGACGCCGCCCAGATCGTGCGCACTGGGCCTCCCTGGCCAGAGACCCCGCAGCCCCGCGGGCAGCTCTGTATGGCCCCGTGTGGCTCCCGGGCCCGCACTCACCTCCTCGGGGGCCCCGCTGCCTGGGAAGAAGTTGCCGTTGTCGTAGCGGTGCAGGGAGATGTACAGCACGTTGGGGTCGCTGTAGAAGGCTTGCTGGGTGCCGTTGCCATGGTGAATGTCCTGCAGGGAGCACGGACGGTTAGGGGGCTCCCCCTGCTGATGGGGGCAGGGGGACTGGTCGGGTCTGGCCAAAGGCCTCCCTGCGCTGATGCAGAGACCGGTAGATACAAACAAGCCTCCATCAGGACTGGGGCTGACTGGATCCCAGCGGCCACCCTCCCTCCAGCCCTTTTCAGCTGACCCTTTATGGCAGAGGTGCCCAATGCCCCACTGGCAAGCTCTGAACCTGTTTCCATGGGAAACAGCGAGCGACTTTCCAGCCCTTAAACCCTTCCCGATGAGGCCAGGGTGTAGGGCAGCGGCCGTGACCAGAGACCCCTTTTGTCTCCGTGGGGCGTTAACTCTGGAGGCTATCGATGGCAGCAACCGGGCATACAAACGCAGCCGCACGTGCGCTGGCTGCAGCCGCCCTTGGGAACGGTCGGTGACCTCGGCGCAGCGACTCACTCCTGCAACCTGCGTTCTTAGCCCTCCCTGCAAACATCTTCGTACCAGGAGGGGGGAGCTGACGGGGGCCAGAGGAGGGGGTTTTGGTGGATAGAGAAAGCCGCTACAGGGATTCTTTTGCCACATACTTTGCTTTCCACGCCAGTGTAGTGCAGCGAACCTCCTGGGTTTATTTAGCTGAGGGCCTCGCGGGTTTGATGGCTATGTCAGTTAGGGTAACGAGGTGTCTGGTTTTCGCCCGGAACACCCAGTCGAAAAGGGATCCTGGCGGGTCCGGTCAGCACCGCCGACTGGCCCATTGAAAGTCCAGTCAGCGGTGCTGTGGAGCTAAGGCAGGCTAGTCCCTACCTGTCCTCGGGCACCGCGCTGCGCCCCGGAAGCAGCCAGCAGGTCCGGCTCCTAGGCAGGGGGGCCACTGGGCTCCGCGCGTTGCCCCCGCCCCGAGCACCGGCTCCGCACTCCCATTGGCCACGAACTCGCCAATGGGAGCTGGGGGGGCGGTGCCTGAGGTCGAGAGCAGCGTGCACCGTGGCGCCTCCTGCCTAGAAGCCTTCCGGGGCGCAGCGCAGTGACCCAGGACAGGCAGGCAGCCTGCTTTAGCCCCCGTGCTGCACCACTGACTGGGGGCCGCCAGAGGTAAGCCTGCACCCCAACCCGCTGTCCCAGCCCTGAGCCCCCCCAAACCTGGAGTCCCCCCACACCCCAAACCTCTCCTCCCCGGCTCCACCCCAGAGCCTGCACCCCCAGCCCAGAGCCCTCACCCCTCCCACACCCCAACCTGCAGCCCCCTCCCACATTCTGAATCCCTCGGCCCCCAGGGCTCCCAGCCTGGAGCCCCCTCCTGCACCCCAAACCCCTCATCCCCATTGTGTGTGGGGGGGAGGGGAAAGCATCACTGGTGCGAGTGGTACAGAGAACGGGTCGCTGGCTGTCACCACCTGCAGAGGGAAAGCCATATACTGGGGCTTGGGGTCTTTAGCTTGTGAACAGAGAAAGCCGGGGGGGGGGAGGAGGGAGGGAGGGAGGGAGGGGTTCTGCTTGCGTTTTGAATGAGTAACTCAGCTCGTCTCGCGCAGGACAGCGTCTGGCCGCCTGGAGACAGGGAGCCTGGCTGGCCTGAGAGGAGGCAGGGTTTTATAGCCAGGGTTTGAACCAAACCAGGGCTTGAGATGTGCCTAGAGCAGCACAAGGGCGCTTTAACCCCTTGAGAGAAAAGTTCTTAGTTAGTGACTCGGCCGCCCCATCCTGTCCACACGCCTACGGGCTCGTCTGCACACAGCAGTTGTGCGGCTTTAGCCGGGGTAGAGGGTGAGGTGCAGGCCCCCGAGCGTGGGCACACTGCTGCCGGTACAGCTAGTCCCGTAGCAGCACCGTTATACCGACCGAACTGCACCCACGCTAGGGGCTGCTCTGGTATCCCCGTGTCAGGACAAAAAAAAAAAAATCACACACGAATGGACAGAGCTGGCTGTGGGACCAGGTCAGGGGCTGGGTCTTCACTGCAAAGCAAGGTGCGGTTCCACCCCGAGATGCTAACTCGATCCCAGGCACCCTAGCTCTGACCTCGGGGTAGCTAGTCAAGGTGAACCCCAGGGATCGGGGAGAGGACCGACCGGATCTAGCCATGGCCGGGTCTGCACTAAACCCCTTTGCTGGCGTAACTGCGGCAATCAGGGCCGTGAAGAGGTGTGAAGCCCGATTGACAGAGCTGTGCTGGCTAGAGACCCTAGTGTAGACGCAGCTATACCGGCAAAACTGCAAGGATAAGTTACGCTGGCCACAGCTTTGCCAGCATTACTGCATCCACACTGTCAACCCCCCAACCTCCTTCGTTCTCCGTCACGCGGGGCAAAGGCAAGCCAAAGGCGGGGGGGGGGGTATTTTCTCTTGCAGGGCTGGCTGGAGAGAGAAGGACCCAGCCCCTGCAAGGGGAGCAGGAATCTGGAGGTACGTTCTGGCTGGCCTGGTCGCCTTCCTTACCCAGTCCACAATGAGGATCTTGCCGACGCTGAGCTTCTGTTGGAGCAGTTTGGCAGCGATAGCGACGGAGTTGAAGAAGCAGAAGCCCCTGAGGAGGCAGGAGAGGAGAGAGATGTGGCTACCGCCGTCCCAGCCAGCGTGAGCGCCAGGGCAGCGGGGAACTGGCTCCACTGATCTGCCGGCATCTACGCTAGGGTTCCTCTGCTGTGTGCCCCCCACCGCTCCGCCAACACAGCGCCACGCCACTGGGGCAGCTCTGGCGCCCGGAGAGCCCCAAGCGTCGTTTCATCCTGCTCCGGGCAGAGCAACGGGGCATGGTGGGTAAAAGCCGGCAGCAGGGCGGCGCTCCGGGAATGACGGCCGGGGGAGACAGGCACCCCAAGATTCACGTCTGGCAACCATCTAGGGGGTTGGGGACTGGGGGTGCCGGGCAGGGGGAGGGTCGCTGACGTGCTGGGCTGCGCCAGGCCCCAGAACACACTCCTTGCCTGCACTGGGCAGAGAAAGTGGCCTAGAGCCCCGGCTGCTAGAACTAGAGATGGGGCCAGAGCCGAGCCCTGATTCTTTTCTGCGCCAACATCCCTCAGCTCAGTGCAGGGGGCCAGTTTCACCTCCAGGGTTTCCTGGGGGCCTCTGCACTGGTCGCCGTCTCTTGCCATCACTTAGAGCAGCTCACGGGCTGCTCTAACGTATACCAGCTGGTGAGGTGTCCGGGATGCCAAGTCTGAATCAGCGGCTGCTCCACCCTATCCCCTGTGCCAGCTGATGGGCCCTCACCCCACGGGAATTCTCAGTGGGCCAGTGAGGGCCAAGAGTCTACTGCTTTGTGCCACGCGAATGGGACAAATTGGCCAGCACAGGACTGAATCCAGACCCAGATTTGTAGCTTGAGCCCCCACCTCTCGTTTAAACACAGCTGCTGCTACCCCAGGTTCATCCATCGCCCAGACAAGGCCTGGACGGCTTCTACCGTGACACTGGCAGGGGTCCCTTCTTATTCCTGCACCCCGGTCCCGAGGGAGGGGCATGCCCTCCTCTAGCCAGGCCAGCCGCCACCCCCCCGGGACAATCCCCCGCAGATCCCCCGGGACAGAACGGATCTAGCCTGGCTGGTGGAGAGGAGATCAAATCAGGTCCTAGCCCCTTTGCTGAATCATGCTGGAGCCGGGCAAAGAGGGATTCTGAGTGCGCAGCTTAGGACACCTTCAAAGGGGCTGGCAGTCAGAGGGCCGGTGCCCAGCACTTCCTGAGTACCAGGCCCCTTGGGGGCATCTCAAGCGGGGCGCCCCAAATCTCATCCCAGGGCTGGCGTGGGACTGATCTCGGTTAGAACCTGATAGCCCCCCAGCCACGTGACTGGGCGAGAACTCCAGGCTGGAACTGGGCAGACACCAGCCCTTCTGGGTCACTTTGCCATTCTCCCCTTTTCCCTGCCCTTACTTACATGGCCGTGGATTCCTCCGCGTGGTGCCCCGGGGGCCGGATGACAGCAAATCCATTCTGCACAGAGAACCAGAGAGGCAAGGGGGTTAAACGAGTGAGCCGGGTTCGAAGCTCCCTCACCCCGTTTCAACGGCGCTCAGGAAAGGCAGGGCCAGACCCGGGGACGGCCGGAAACGTCAGGAGGGGACATGAGATCAGAAATGCTATTTTCACTTAGCTTGTAAGAGCCGGGGGGCAGGGACTGACTTTTTGTCCTGTGTTGAGACCGTGCCCAGCGCCTGGGTCTATCACTGGGGCTCCCAGCCCAATACAGATAATAAACGACAACAGAACAAGTCACTGCCAAGCAGAAGGGTGACCCACAACAGTCCCTCGAGCGACACTGCAGGTGCTCCCCCCGCAGGGAAGCCGCCGTTCCTGTTAGCCCAGCTGCCAGTCTACCCTGCCTCTTCCATCAGCGTCATTATCCTCAGCTGGATTCCAGCGGCAGAGTCTTGCTCACGGAAGAGGCTGGATGCCGGAAACGGCAGCGCCTTTCACGGGAGGAGATCGGCGCCTCGGAAGCGGTAAAGGGACTCGCTCGAGGCCACACGGCTAATCCGCGGCAGAGCTGGGAATAGAACCCAGGAGTCCTGCCGCCTGCTCTCTTGCGCTAAGGACAAGACTACACGCCTCGTTCCGAAGCTGAGACGAGCCCCCGGGCGGGCTGCTGCCCTGCTCCTCCCTGCTCTAACCCCTAGACGATACTGTGATCCCCGGAGGCCGGTCACGGGGCTGCGACTCCTCTTCATTTCCAGTAGCTAAATAGCATTAAAAGAAGCTCCGAAGACCACGCGGGGCCTGATTTTCCCAGGCGCCTCGTCCTGGAATTCCTTTCCCAGTTGCTGCCCCGGGCGGGTTCCGTGATCGCAGGCGGGAGATGTCCCTGCATGCTCCGTGCCATGGGAATATTGGACACCTCCCGTCCCAGGCTGCGTCTCATCTATTGGTTCCCGGGGGAAAGGGGAACTCAGCAGCAGCCGGCTGATAGAGACAACCTCTGATCAAACCCGCTGTGTTTGAGCTGGACGGGACTGAACCCTGGGGCACCACTTTGACACCGCCCCGGCCCTGATTCTCCCTGACTCCCGGCGATGAATAATCCTGTGCCGGCAGGCCGGGGGTAAATACACGAGCGACTGCGTTCGAGGGAGCCTGTCCTTTGCTGCCCCGTTTCTCCACTGCCACCACAGCCAGAATCCCAAGGGCAGGACCGGCAGGGTCACGGGGGCAGGTTGGCCAGATCCCAGCGGCATCAGCAAGACCACGCGGGAGACTCCGACGCAGGCATGGCCACTTGCTGTATGGTTCCTCTGACATGGCAACTGGCCCTGGAGTGTTCTCCCCATGGGTGACCCCAGCAACATCTGCAACCTACCCCGGTGGAGCCCCAAGGGGAAATGGGCGGAGCAGGGGTTAAAGCAGGTTGGGACAGGGATGGGGAGCTCTCTGCCGCAGTCAAGGAGGAGGGAGAGTGTTGGGGAAGTGCTCTGCTCCCCCCTTAACGCCTTCTGATGGCCCTCTACACGGATCAGTGAGGACCCATCTCCACAGCATAGCTCTCTTCCCGGAGAGCTGAGGGAGAACTCCTTGAGTTGCTAGCAGCAGTAGGTTGTTATCCTCTATGTGAACCAGCTCCATGTGAATCGGGACCTCCAGCACCAAAAATCACAATCCCCTACTCCCTGAGCTAAAGGGACAACCCCCGCCCCAGCTACGGCAAGCCCCTGGGGACAGGGAGAGTCTTTTTGTTCTGCGTGCGTACAGCGCCTAGCACCATGACTTGGGCCCCTAGGTGCTAAAGTATGGCAAATAACAGACAGCAGCAGGCCGTTGCAGTGGCCATGCTCCGCCACTAGAGGGAGACGTGATGGAGAGCCCCCAAACCCTTGGCTGCGTGCGGGGGACTCACCTTGAGCTCTCCCGAGGCCACCTTGAAGGCTAACTCCACCAAACAGCCCACAGCCATGCGGACGGCGCTGGACGAGTGCATCTCGTTCCACACCGTGTCGCTGTCCACCTGCCCAGAAAGCAAGCCGGGTCGTTACCGGGGCCGCCCTGGGGGCGTGGCACAGAGCCCCCGAGCCCCTAGCCCCGCCTCCGAGGAGCTACTCACCCCGATGCCGCCGCAGGGCAAGACCGCATACATCTTCTGGCTGATGGGACCTGGGCAGAGCAGAGGGAGCAGTGACAGACAGCCAAGAGCCCACGCCCCTGCCTGGGGAGGGCACGGTCCCCCTCACCCCGCCCCTCGAGATCTGGACTGGGAAGAGGTAAAAATGGGGGGGATCTGGACACAGGGGCGTAGGAGTTGCCATGACACATCTCCCCACTGGGCCCACTGAGGTTGTGTCCCAGCTGCTGCCGTAGGAACGGATTGGACCAACATCCAATCGCTCACCATAGCAGAAAGGGTCCCCAGTCCCCACTCTGCCCCCCAGGTCACCCTCCCTTTCAGAGCCAGAAAAAGAACCCAATGCCCCTGCTCTAACCCATAGGGAACACTCCCCTCCCAGACCCAGGAAAAGAACCCAGTCCCCCTGACTCCCAGTCTCCGCCTGCTCTAACCACTACGATGCACTCCCCTCCCTGAGTCAGCGATAGAACCCAGGAGTCCTGACTCCCAGTCCCCCCTCCCGCCGCCCTAACCAACAGGCCTCACTCCCTTCCCAGAGCCAGGAAAAGAACCCAGGAGTCCTGACTCCCTGTGTCCCCGGCTCTAACCAACAGGCCTCATTCCCTTCCCAGAGCCAGGAAAAGAACCCAGGAGTCCGGACTCCTTGGTCCCTGCTCAAACCATTAGGCAGTGCTGCCTCTGCTAGATTAAAAAAAACCATGCAGAAAACGTTGCCCCCGCCACGCACACTAGGCAGGGAGCATGAACAACCCCATCCGCCTCCCGCCGTAGCCAACAGCTAAACGCCCAGGGACTGGGTGGGAGCAGGCAGGGCTCTAAGTTGCCCTCAGACGGGGGCCACCTACCTAGCAGCTTCTTGCTGTCAAGTTTCTGCCGGTTGAGGGGGCTGGTTCCGTAGAGCAATGTGTGATGCTCCGAATGGACTGTCTGGATTTCGTCCAGCGTCGCTTTCCTGCCCCGGATCCGCTAGCAGAGAGAGAGAGAGCGCGGGGTGAGGGGGGCTGTGCCTGGCCAGATGGTGCCAGGATCGTCGCTTTATGGAGGTGGCTGGGCTGGGAAACCTGTCTGGGTGCTCGGGGCACACGGGCAGCCGCCCACTTCGAGGGGCTCAGGATGAGCCCGGGGGTCCTGGGGTTGTCACTCAGAGGTGACAACCCTGGTTCTGAAGTGAGTGAGCTGCAGCCGGGGGGTGGCTGGATCGTGGATGCTTCAGCCAGGAGACATTTACCTCTGGTGCTGGGGACCAGTCAGCCCCGTGGGGATCCACGCAGCAGACTGGGGTCCCTTCCCATGGGGCAGGGCTGCAGTGGGTGTGCTCCCTGTATTCGGAGGCCGTGCAGAGCCCTCTCCAGCCCCTGCGGTAATTCGGAGCCACCCCAGAGCTGCTTTAACCTATACTGCACTTCCTATCGCCCCCTACAGGCAGCAGAGAAGAGCAGCCACACAGAACACTCCAGCCACACCCCCACCTAGGCTGGGAGGGGTGGGGTTTTTTCAGTGGGTTATTGCCAACCCCTTTGCAGGGCAGGCTGCTCCACGCGGGGGGAATCCGATCTCACTGACACCTCTAGCAGGCAGCTGGCCTGGCTGGATGAAGCTGGGGAGGGTCCCCCCGCGCCTCCCAAGTCTCCTGCACTAGGAAGGGCTACGTCTCCACTGTACAGTGAATCCGGGCTCTCACCCCGCCCCCGTCCACACCCCAAACCCTCTTGCGCTGATTTGGTGGGGCTTCCAACCCCAGCGGGCTGGCACAGTTGGGGCTCGGAGCCCAGGTGCTGCCTTCACTCGGGCTGGTAACTTCACTTCGCAGCGAGAACGCAGTCCTTTGCGCGCCGAGTCCTCCAGCCGTCCCCCACGGGCCCAGATGGACAGACGGGTTCTCCCACAAGGCACCGGGGAAGAATCACAGAGCGGCTCCGTGGAGGGCAGCCCCAAGAACCAGGGACTGTGCCCCCAGAAGTCCCAGCGACACACCCGGGGGAACGCAGCGCCAGCAAGGGCCCCGTGACTTGGCCGGGGCACTGCCCCGAGGCCGATCACCGGGCTACCTCTGCAGTGGAGACGTAGGAGATGGTGCTGGGGCGCCGCGGTCGCCATCTCTGAGGTGGGACAATAAACCAAGGTCCAAGCCACTCATGGTCCCTTGACACTTTCTGCGTGAGGTTCAACCCCTGATAGCTGCCTCCTGAGCCCCCACGTTCCCCCAGCCTCCTCCCTCGGATCCTCACCTCGCACTTGCTCAGCAAGCCGGTCTCCTGGAGCCTGGACCAGATGCTCTGGATTCTCCCAGCATGCTCTGGGTGAATGTTAGTGTTCCCGCACATACACTGGTGCTTTAGCATGAACGTGTCGTAGATCACGCCTGGGGGAGAGACAAGGGAAGGGACAGGAAGTACGGGCTGGATGGCAGGAACCCTATGGCAGCAAGACCCCCTCTGGCTGTGGGGCAGCCAGTGGCCTGGGGCACGGCCCTGGAGGCTTTCCTGGGGGCAGCGAGCGGGCGTGCCCCGCCCTACTCAGCGTGGTGGCTGGGAGCAGACATAGGTTGCTGCGTTTGGCTAATGGAGCTGGGCCGTATCCCCACGTGCTTTCGGAACCAGAGGCCCTGGGGTTCATTTCCCGCCATAGGCGCCAACTTTCCCCGGCGCCCCCCCGCCCCGACTCCACCCTTTTCCCACCCCCATTCCAACCCCTTCCCCAAAGTGCCTGCCCCAACTCCACCCCCTCCCTGCCCCTATTGGACCCCTTCCCCAAATCCCCGCCCCGGCCCCGCCTCTTCCCCGACCGCGCCGCGTTCTCCCTCCGCCCCCTCCCTCCCAGCCGAGCGAAACACCTGTTTCGCGGCGCAAGCGCTGGGAGCTGGGGGAAAAAGCAGGCACGCGGCGCACTCAGGGGAGGAGGCGGAGGTGAGCTGGGGCGGGGATTTTTCCCCGTGGGTGCTCCAGCCCCAGAGCACCCACGGAGTCGGCACCTACGTTCCCCGCTGCTGCCCCACGGAGACGGGCTGCGTCATCTAATCACCTTCTCTGGGTACCGCTACGCTGCAGTAAAAGACCCGCCGCGCGGCCAAGGCTGGTCCAGGCTTGCAGGGCTATAAAATTGTAGTGTAGATGTGTCGGCTTTTCCCGGGCTCCGAGACCTGCGAGCGGGGAGCGTCCCAGAGCCCAGGCTCCAGCCCGGGCCTGAACCTCAACACTGTAATTTTATACTCGCCACCTGAGCCAGCTACCCCGGACTCTGTGACTTGGTGCCGTGGATTTTTTATTGCAGCGTGGTCCTGGGTCATCAATAGAGCAAGTGGACGTCTCTTTTCTACGGCAGATGGTCTGGAAAAGCCAAGAGAACTGGCCTGCCTCGGCCAATCTAGGCTCCTCCTGCCAGATCCTGCCCCCGAATCTGAAATTTTCATTTTCTCAATCATTTAAAAGTTTCTAGGCCTGATGGCTGCAAAAGAAACCGTCCAAAGCGGACCCGGGCGTGAGCCACACCCCGACGTCCGCCTGAGTCTGCAGACAAGCACCCGAAGAAGGCATGAGCCGCCTCATTCAGCTCGGCAGGACGTTCACTCTGAAGTCTAACAACGACGGTTTGCATTAGCGGTTCCCCGGCTGATCAAAGCACCCACGAAAGGAGAGGGATGATGACGAGACGCGGTTCTGCCCAGGTTACTGTGAGTGGCGCCCCACTTTGGCATTGTGAGGGTGGAGCGTGGGCTGTGGGCGTGGCTTGGGCTGTTTTTCCCCCCAGGGGACCTCGGGGCACATGACTTCTTACCAGTAGTGAACAGGTGTTTGACCGGGGGTTCAGCCGCTGTGTTCTTGATGCCTGTGGCGGCGGGCGAGGACTGGGTCCGGCTCAGCGCTTGGTGAGGCAAGGTGGTGATGGTCAGGGAAGCTGGGAAGAGCTGGATGGGCTGCAGCGGCTGAGGATCGGGGAACACCTGCGCGGAGAGGGGATGTACACAGGGCGGGAAATTCACCCACGGCCGAGCCCTCCACAGGCAGCCCGGGCCAGCGGCAGGCAACAAGCTGGGACGCAGGTTCTGTTCCCGGCTCTGCCACTGACCCGCCCTGTCCCCGCTCTGTGCCTCAGTTTCCCCTCCCACCCTTTATCCGCTCTGCCTATTAGGACTGTACATTCTGTAGGGCAGGGCCAGGGTCCGTGCGGTGCCCAGTGCAGCGGGGCCCTGAGCCTCTAGTGCCACTGCAATATAAGGAATTATTCAGTGCAGAGGCACGACCGGCTGGCAGGGGGCCCAGCGCACAGGGCGAGTGGGCGCCTTGAGTCCCTCTGAGCCAGCTCTGGGCACCCACACGTATCCGAATCTGCCCCATCCCGCCTCCCGCTGAAGCATCCGTTTGGCTTTCGATGCCCCACAACACCCAGGCTGCAGCATCCGCGCTCGCCCGGCGGCCAGGCTCCCCCGACCCCTTTCCTCGGCGCTGTGTCTATACCCCTGCAGGACCCCAGCCTGCAATGCCCCAGGCACCCCGGTGATGAGGTTAAGAGCGTGGGCTGGCAGTTCCCAGGTCTCTCCCTACCCTCGTGCTGGGGCCCCGACAGCACCACAGCGCGGCGTTGGCACTGCAGAGACGCCAGCGGCTTCCCACCCGCCCGCTCTCCTTTTACGAACCCCGTCCCGTCCGGGGAAAGAGACTCATCCCGCCTCGCCGTGCGTCCCCACGCGCCCCCGCCAGCGCAGTGATCAAATATTCAGCAGCCGGGATGCGAGAGGCTTTGGATGAGTCATGCCCCGGAAGCCGCGGCAGCTGGGTACGATGTGTGTGTGTGGTGGGGGCCGGAAGCGGGGAGCAAAGAGGGCGATGCGGGGGGGTGTGGATGAGTCACTCGTCCCTCAGAGCCGTCTCTGATGAATGGGGAGCCAGCTTGGCAGGCTGCAGACGCGACAGAGGCGGAGTTGAAAGCCGCAGAGAGCGGGGAGGAGCTGGGTTGAATGTCTGGAGCTGGGCAGGGTGGGAAGCGGGCGCCGGGGCCGTGCCAAAGGGCGCAGGGCTTTGGGAGGGTGTGATCAGGCGTGAGAACGCCCCGGGGGCGCGTGCGGCTGGGCACGCAACGTGGGCATGCGCCCCAGAGCGCAGCCGGGCATGCAAGCGGGCTGGTACTGCGGCCGGGTCTTTGTCCCTCCGCCGGCTGCGGCTCTGTTCACGCCCCCAGCCCCACGACCGGGGCCACTTGCCACTGCCGGCCCGGGGCTTTCGTCAGGAGCCAGCACTAGCCGTCTCCCAGGTGCCCGATGATCTCACTAGCCCGTTTCTGTATAAGCTGGACCCAGCTGGCTGGCGCGAGCGCCTGCTTCCCTGCCCCGCCACTGCTGGCTGGCCGGGGCGAGCACCCCACCTCCCAGCCCCCCCCTCCCGGCTCTCCGAGCAGCCCGGTGGGGAGCCCCCTCCCCATCAGCTGTAAGGGTGACGAGTCCCCAGCGCAGCCCGCCATGGGGGATGGGGAAAGCTGGGATCCGGACCCACACGGTGCTGGGCCAAGGATACACGCCTGGACCAAGGCGGGCTGGAGGGATCTCCAGGGCAGACAGCTGCCCCATCCCTGGCTGGAACGGCGTGACCCCGGCAGCCACACCATGCGGGTGCTACAAGTAGAGTCAACATTTGGGGCGAGCATCTCCCACTGCTGCTCCCTCCTCCCAGGGGTCACACCTGTGGTGGCACATCCCCCGCTAGCACAGGGTCGCCCTCTGGTGGCTGGGGTGCAGAATAGGATAAGAGCCTACTACAGGTGCCAGCTGGGGGAGTCACTCCTTTAGACCAAACAGTAGAGGCACAAGGCCTTAGCCCTGGGTTCGAATCCGCCTGTCAGCCTAAGGAGAGGGGCTGTTCTCCTGGCAGATGGTGAGTAAGGTAGAGGAGACCCTGGTTCATTTAGGGGAGCAGTGGGAGGGGCTCACCTGCTTGTAAGCCACGCCCAGCTCCTCCACCTCCGGCGAGTCGATGTGCTCGTCTTCGTCCCCGCTCGCGCCCCCCTCGTCCTTCACCGGCTCGCCGCCCTCGTCCTCCTCCAGCTCGTCCTGCGTGCTCTCGCTCTCCGGCGAGCCGTCCACCACGAAGGCCACCGGCCCCAGGGGCACCGTGTCCTCCAGCAGCACCTCCTGCTGCTCCGTCAGCTCCTCCTCCGTCTCCTCTGGGTGCGTGGTGGGCTGGCGGGGCAGCTCGCCCGTCTTGGTGATGATCTTTAAAGAGAGGGGCAAGGGGTCTTTGGGGCATCTAGGGGCACAGGGGGGTGGCACCCGGGCCACGTACAGCAGATGATGCGCCCCTCTCCCTCCCCCTCCCCCGCAGGTGGCACAAGGGGAGGGGGGTTTCTCTGGTGATTGACAGGTTCAATCCACCCATGCCCTGCAAGCCACCCGCCCTGCCCGCCCCATTCCCCCTGCCCACCTTGCCAAGCTGAATTTGCTGCTGTTGCTTCTGCTTCTCTAGGAACTGCTGGTGCTGCTGCTGCATGACCAGCTGCTGCAGGGCCTGGGGGCTCTGGGGCAGCGGGGACGACTGGGTGCGGCTCAGCGGGCGGTGCCGGGGCAGCTTGTTGACCGTCCGCATGTTGGTGGAGATGCGCTCGCCCGTCACCAGCGGGGACTGGCCGTGGAGCGGCACTGGAAGGAGAGAGCAGCCGGGCTAGCGCAGGAAGCCTGATCCAGCGGTAGGGGGGCTGCTGGTCAAGGCACTGGAACGGGAGTCAGGACTCCTGGGTTCTCTCCCCAGCTCCGGTCACTGCGTAGGTCTGGGGCTTACGTTTCCCCTTCTGCGCAGCGCGGAGAGCCACGCCGACAGGGGTGTAGCTAAACACGCCAAGGGCTATTCCAGGCAGCAGGACGGCGGCACAGCCGGGAACAGAACCCTCCGCCCCAGCCCCCTGCTGCAACCTCACGGCAGCCTCCCTTCCCAACAGGCTATCCATCCCACGAGCCCACTGGCCTGCCTCAAGCTTGGCCCTCCCAGCCTGGCGAGTCTTTCACAGAGGGGCGTTGTCTAGTGGTTAGAGCCGGGGACCGGGCGTCCGAGCGCCGGGCTCTGCCCCTAACTCAGGCCTAGTGGTTAGAGCCGGGGACCGGGCGTCCGAGCGCCGGGCTCTGTCCCTAGCTCAGGCCTAGTGGTTAGAGCCGGGGACTGGGTGTCCGAGCACCGGGCTCTGTCTCCAGCTCAGGCCTAGTGGTTAGAGCCGGGGACCGGGCGTCCGAGCGCCGGGCTCTGCCCCTAACTCAGGCCTAGTGGTTAGAGCCGGGGACCGGGCGTCCGAGCGCTGGGCTCTGTCCCTAGCTCGGGCCTAGTGGTTAGAGCCGGGGACCAGGCGTCCGAGCGCCGGGCTCTGTCCCCAGCTCAGGCCTAGTGGTTAGAGCCAAGGACCGGGCGTCCGAGCGCCGGGCTCTGTCCCTAGCTTGGGCCTAGTGGTTAGAGCCGTGGACTGGGCGTCTGAGCACCGGGCTCTGTCCCTAGCTCAGGCCTAGTGGTTAGAGCCGGGGACCGGGCGTCTGATCAATACCGAGCCCCATCTCAGGGCAGCTGTTTCCAGGGTCCCTGGGTGATGGCCCCCTGCCCTACCCCAGCATGGCCTGGGCCCCCCGCCCGCACTCACCGGCGATCAGCGTGTTCTGCTGGCGGGCCTGCTCCAGGAGCAGCACGTGCTGCAGCAGGGAGGCGTGCCCATGGCTGTTGGTCTCGCCCTCCAGGGCGACCCCCAGCAGGCAGCCGGGGATGGACGAGGTGCTCATGAACTTGCCCGTGAGCGCCCCGCCCTGGCGCAGCGACTGGATGGCCTGGCGCTCCGCCTCCTGCTGGGTGGAGAGCTTCGGGGAAGCCTGCGGGTGGAGGAGAGAGAACAGAGAGTGTCTGGGGGGGGGCCTGCTCCTCTGTATCCTCTGAATGCTGGCCAGGGATGGGGGGGCACGATCACGTCCCCTTCCGCCCCCCACAAACACACCTCTGGCTGCCAGGACAGTGGGCAGCAGGGTCTCCTGTGGACCACAAACCCGCTGGGGTTACCAATGGGGAAGGGGGGTATTAGGACCATGAATGAAGTAACCCCCCCCCCGGCCACATCTGGCTCTGTCCCCAGCTCTGCCCTGTCCCCAGATGGCCGCAAGGCCCCGCCCCAGCGAAGGTGGAGCCGACAAAGATGAGTTACTCAGGGGCTCAGTGCCAGGACATGTCCCATGCCCTGCGCACCTTGGCTGGTGGCAGCACGCCCGCCCACGGCTGCCATGGGCCTGCAGGCACGCCCGGCCCTAGATCCATCTGGAACCGTCCGCGTTATCGAGAGTTAAGCCCTTGGGCTGACACCCCCAGCCAGAGCTGAAGGGCACGCTCTGCCGACCGGCGTCACAACCACTAACACCACCAGGGAGGCCCCCGCCACCTCAGAGCCACGCCTGGCCTACCCACGCTGCTGCCCGCCTGAAATCTGGCCTCTCGACGGTCCACCCCGGGCGTTTTCAGCCTTTCTCCATGTGGCCCCCTCTGGAAATCTTAAACATGGTCTGGGCCCTCAGGCCTCCACGGACCCCAGGTTGAAAACCCCTGTTCTAGACAGACCCTGGCTGGACTCGGCTCAGTTACTCTGGAGTGACCAGCGGCCTCTTGGCTCCAGCTCCAGGAGCTGGCTTTATCTCCGGGCCAGATGAATCCCCCTCCCGCCAAGCCCCTTCCCATCCGAACAGCTGCTCGGTCCCTCGGCTCACGGGGACAAGATCTCCACATGGAAGCAAAGGGTGTGGGATGCATGCAGCAAACTCTGCCAGTGCACCTTCCCACCAGTCTCCGATGCTTCCACATGCCCCTCCGCACACACCGCTTTGCCCACGCACCCGAACCCTGCCCCGCAGCCCCCCGCCCCGTGGCTCTGCTCTCTCCCGGGAGCTGCCCGAGCATGGGAGAATTGGAGCTGTGGGCCGACCCCCGCTAGAAACGAGACAGCGAGTGCCCCTCTCCTCCCAGCTGTGAGCCCAGGACCCCTTCCGCAGCCAGGCCCTGGGCCCACCCTAAAGCCAGGCTGTTGTGTTTTCGGGGAACAGTCCATTTCTTTAGTATTATTCTTTGCTCGGATTTGCTAATTACGGTTTAAAACCAACAGCGCCACCAGCAGCTAAGGAAAGACAAAGGTGACGGACGCCCCCGTCTGTTTGATGGGCTGCAGACAGTAACAACGAGAAGCAGGGGGCTGGCTGGAAGGATAATCACTTCCAAACCAGGTGGGGGGTTTAATCAGGCCATACGAGGCACAGTTAGGGATCTTTGGGCCAGACACAGATCTCCAGCCAGGAGAACCCCGCTGCCAGGAATCGGAGCAGGTCTGGGGTTCACAGAGCCGCCAGAGGAGACCATCGGATCATCTGTACAGCCTGGGCCGGAGAGTTTTACCCGCTTACCCCCCGACTGAGCCCAATGATCTTAGGGCCCTAAATACCACCGAGACGTAGGCTCCAAAGCGCCAGGTTTGCAAAGGCCTTTCCGCGCCGGGTTCTTCAATAGCACCTGTGTGGGATGGCGGGTGTTTGGTGAGGGCAGCGTGATGGGTGGGACGTGACGGCTGGGTGTGTGTGTGGGTGTGTGAGACAGAGAGAGAGATGAATGTTTGTGTGTGTGATGGACCTGTGTGTGTGTGTCTGTCTGATGGACGTGTGTGTGTGTGTGTGTGATGAACTGGTGTGGGTGTGTGTAGGATGGACCTGTGTGTGTGTGTATGATGGACCTGTATGTGTGATGGACCTGTGTGTGGGTGTGTGTATGATGGACCTGTGTGTGTGTGTGATGGACCTGTATGTGTGATGGACCTGTGTGTGGGTGTGTGTATGATGGACCTGTGTGTGTGTGTGATG